GTTGAAATAAAAACTCTAGCTTTCTTAACTTACTATAGAGAGCAGTTTCCCATGTTTTTAGGAAAATGTAGTGGTTATAAATAAGGTCAATATTAAGCACAAAATTTCACAGCATATATGGACCTCTTCCAGCCACTGAGGAAGCAGAATCACAAGTTAAAGTCAGCCTCAGCAACCCAGTAAGGCTCTCTACAAAAACCAAACCAAATCAAACAAAACCAACAAAACTGACAAAAATCACGTGCACATGTTAGCCACACGGCACCTGCTGTATGAAGGTTATGCCCGGGAGCTCCAGCTACTGTACTTGTCAGGTTAGAATGTGGCACGGGAGAAATAAAAGTGGCCATTTGGGATTCTACACAACAGAACAAAATTCTACAATAAAGTGTTTAAAGAGGAGCCACCACTGGCTTATTTAAGAGAAAATTTCATAGCACAGCTGCCTGGACATGGCTGAGTGAGCTGCAGCATTACAGTCCTGCTGGGGCCTGGGATGCTTCTTCTGCCAGCTTTAACTGTCCACTTGTGGGTTCTCGTGGAAACTGGACTTTTTTTCGTTTTGTTTTTAGAAAGGGAGTATGTTTACTTTGGTGTTGGTTTAGAACCTTTTCCCTCTGACTTTAGCATCATTAAAGTAGGCCACTAATTCAGAGAATGTACTTTGTCAGTAACCGGTCTCATTAGGTCAATATCATATTTCTTCAGTTTATGAAGCATAAAAAAATGCATAAAAATTTTTATACTTGAAAAAAATAGTAGAAGATCTCTCCTAGCCTCTAGAGCTCAGTGCAGCATTTATTACTATCAGGATGCTGTGATGGCAAGCACTGAGCTCTTCCTATGTGACAGATAATACACAAAGTACTTAAAAAGTTTTTACCTAATCTCGATAGCAACACTATAAATTTTACTGTTTTATAATAATTCTACTTTTCTAAAATCAGACAAATTAAATATGGTAACTTATTTGTCCTCTCGCAATTAATAGATAGACTATTTAACCCTTAAAAGAAAGTATTAAGGTACTCTGTGTAACCCTCGATGCTCACACTTTGGGGAAGGTGACATGAAATACTCTGTAAGCGGCGGCCTGCAGACTAAGGAGGTGACGGTGAGAAATAAGCAGCAGTTGCCAGTAACACCATGCTTCACTGGGATCTCTGAATTATAAACCCCAAAGCAACTCGGACCCGCTTATACCTCAAAACTGTTCATCACACCAGTTACAAAACTACGTGCCAGGTTTTCCTCAGACACAGAGAGCCTGCTTTATTCCAGGACTACCCCATACCACTTCCAATGTCCCCATTTTTAACATGAGATCTGTGAACCCAGGAAAAATACTCTAATTTTATACACTGTGGCTCTTTTTGATCACTCTCATCTTTAAGATGCTTATGCAGTGCTTTAAGTTCTATTTATATTTTCCCTTGCACATCAGTGTGTCATCTACAGCGTGCCTAGAAGCAAGTATGTAGTGTTCAAAATAACTTTTTAAATGGTATCATGCTTATTCCTGACCTCTTATGAGAGGATGGTAATAATTTGCCTTCTTATGTAACTTCCACCTATCTTTCTTTCAGTATCGCAATGGGATATGCATAATCTTTATCTAACAAAATAGCTTTAAATTACCTGAATCTGAAAAGTATCATTCTACGGGCCCTGAAGTATCTAGATGTATAAGAAGAAAGTGTTATAGTGCAGTGGCTCTTGCAGGAAAACTATTCAACTGAGTTTACAACTCTAACTTACCAAGAGCTCTCTAACCTACCCTTGCTCTGCTCTGATTCTAATCTGACTTAACACATTAGCAGCGATACCTGTTCCCACTCCTTCAGTGACCTTAGATACAAGGTAAAGAACTCATATGCAGTCACAACAAGAAATATGTTAGTAGGACAAAGTTACCATTTCTTCTGTCCTGCCACATGTGGAAAATGATATAGGACCAACACATGATGTAAACTATAAGAAAATGGGGTCTGTTATAACTCCTGGGTAAAGAAACTTTTGCATTTTCTTCATAGAGCTATGATAAGAAAAAGTATTCAAATATATTAAGTAATGAATTTCAATATATAATCATCAGAATTTGAATGAAATACTTGTGTTAAAACATAATTTTAACTGTGGTAAATTTTTGCATGGTTTTGAAAATGGTTTTATTCCTCAAAAATGCACAGTCATATCATTATTCCTAGTCAGGAAACTCTTGTCCAGGAGAATATGAGGCTGAATGAAGAAATGGGTACTCAGTGTCTCTTCGTTTCCTCTTCTTTCTTTTCTGCCTCCTCTACTTGCTTTTGGTATCTTTTGTTTTGCCCTCACTACTGCATTCTACTGTAGTTTTTCACTGATCTGTAACTGACAAACCCTTTGCCTCAAGTGCCCCAAATATGCTGAACTGCTCATCTTAGCTTGCCAGCGCTGGAAAGCAAATCAGAAGAGGCAGGAGGAGGATGATGCTTTCCTGAGAAGGTAGAGACCAGAGAGGCTGAAAGCAAGTCCTGGGCCTAGGCTGCTACAAAAAGATGTGGGATGGAGATGTCTTTACCTGCCATGTGGCCTGTGTGTGCTCAGCAGCCTCACTCTCCTTTCTAAACCCCTGGTACTTCAGTGTTCCCTAGCAACAGACGCAAAGGATCAATTTAGAAAAGTGCTTTCCAGAGCGTTCTATCTAGTGACTGACGTTTTAGTTTATGTAATCAAGCAATTCAAATTCCAGGGAGATTTATCACTCACTGTCCTTGGCTGCAGAACTGGAGGAGCACCACTTGATAGGTGTGCGGCCAGTGTATGAGGTGGCTGATTCTACCTCTGCTGCACAGGCGTGGACGGGCTTCTGTAAGAATTAGTAGTCTCCACATCTCACTGTGCACCCACAGTGTTGCTAAGGAAACTGATAATTATGTGGCAAAATGGAGGGTGTAGAGCAGAAAAAGGGTTCAAAGAAAGGTAAGGTTTTGATCCAAGTCAGCATGTTAATAGTATAATTTGTTGATCTTCTGTAGTCATATAATTTAATAAATACCATTAATTATATGTTTGACAAAATACAGGTTTCTAAACAGAAAGAAATGAATAATAATGAAAAGCTAGTAGTTACTGATAATACTTTGTGTATCCCAGAGCAAGAACATAGATTTAGAATATATGACAATTAACTTTAAACTTCAAATATTCAAAAAGGTGAGAAACAACAACATTGCTTTGATTTTTAGTGTGTTCTTTAGATATCAATCATATAGTGCTCCAGTTAAAAAAAAAAATTGTAATTCTATAAGCTCTAATAATAAAATTTTTTTGGCTCCATAGAGCAAGGTGCATAGTATCAAAATATCCTTGTTAGGTGGAGAAGAAATATTATCAGTATTTTTATATTCTATGTAGTAAAGTCAACTCTGAGAAGCTGAATGAAATTCTTAAAGCCACATAGCTCCTTGCTTAGCAGAAATGCTGATACGAAATCATCCCATGTCAGTCTCCTAAGAGGCATTATTTATAGCTTGTTTAGGGAAAGCCAATCAGAAAGACATAAATCTAGTAACGGATTCAAATCTCTAGATATCACTTCAGTTTTAAATGAACATTTCCAATATGTCTGATTTTTAATGGCTAAGAGGTTAGTTCTAAAAGTTAATGATAGGACACAAATGCTTTTTTATCAAGAAAACTTCACAGGAAACATTTTAATATGAGAAAGAGCCTCAAAAAAAAAAAAAAAAAAAAAAAAAAAAAAACCCAGAACAGCTCATCCTTAGCAGGGCTTTACTACATGTGAAATTGCTCCCCTGCTGCCCTGATCATGACAATTCCACCACAGCACATTATTTTATTTTCATTTTATTTTCATTTTCCAAAGATTGCTATATCGTGTGTATATTTAAAAGGATGGAGCCAAATATTTTCCATTCCTTTCTATATTTATCTTTAAAAATTCGTATATATTTTCTAATTTATAGGAAGCACTTTAGACATTAAAACATGAATATTCTTATACACACAGCCTTTATATGGAGCATGAGAAAATAAGTGATTTATTTACAGATGTTGGATCTAGTCCAGGGCTCGTGGTCTTATTTGGTGCAAATAACAAGGAAAGACATGAAATATACACAGAGACCACCACATACATTTGTGTATGTGTGTGTAGCACTGGGATTGAACCCAAGGCATCACATGTGCTAGGCGAGTGCTCTCCTTACCACTAAGCCACATCCCTGGTCCTCAGAACTACTTAAATAAATAAATTTCAAGTGGTAAAAGCAGGCAGGCAGTTTTCTGATGTTATGAAAAAGATCTTCATTCTAAGGACTGAAAATTCTAAGTTCCATTCATTAATGTATAAGGTCTGTCTGGGTATAGTGGTGCATGCCTGTAATTCTAACACTTGGGAGGCTGAGACAGGAGGACTGTCACAAGTTTGAGGCCAGTCTATGCTACATAGTGAGTCCAAGACCAGCCTGGATTGCAGAATGAGACTCTGCTTAAAAAAAAACAAAAAAATCTATCTATCTATCTATCTATCTATCTATCTATCTATCTATCAACCGATAGATAGATAGATAAGATAGATAGATAGATAGAGATAAATAGATAGCCATGAACTTATATCATGTATAGGTGATATTTATGATGAATGTGATCACTTTGGATATCTAAAACGTACTAATAGAAGCTGACGGAAAAAATATGTAAGTTGTGGAGGTCGCTCTAGATGGGATAGTCTATTACTTTTAAAGCAGTATCTGTACATGAATTTTATGATGGGTTAAAAACAACATTTCATTGTCTTTAGTTGATATTCTGTAAGTTATTTACATTAAAGAATTATATGGGATAAGATAGAGCTACAGTGGTAGACTCCCATTTTCCCAACTCATTTGCTCTAAAAGAAAGACATTTTAGCTGGTGAATTTCTAGATTAGAAACAGAAGGCTGAAGGTCTAATTGACAGTGAGTAAAAGTGATTTTCTTGGCTAGGTTAGACACACCTTGACTCAGGCCATCCTGACAAGATGTCTGCTTGATGTCCAAGTTCTCCATGGTGTCTCCTTTAGAGACTTCACCAAGAGATGTTCTTCTCTCAAAGATATTGTTGTTATTGTTAACTTGAGTTCCATTTTGCTTCAGCAGCCTGAACACGTCAGCTTCCAAATCTCTTATCTGAAAAGAAAGAAAGTAAAAAGCCCATCATAAACTCAGCCAGCACTCCTCTGGGTGCAGCAGCAAAGCTGTCTCATTTAGTGGCTCTGAGAAGGTAACTCACCCGCACTTGGAGGCCCTGAACCTCCACAAGATGTGCTTTTTCCAAATCTTCTATTTTCTTTCTTTCTACCTCCTGTCTTTTGATGAAATCAAGCTCTCTTAAGAAAAAAACAACAGATTTGATGGTAGTGAACACTCAGTAAAGAAACATAAAAGCTCTAATGTGAGCATTTATTGGTATTTAAATAAGCAAACCTCAACTACAGTTTATAGTATTGAAAGAAAACAAAGCATCTTAATGGATCACAAAATAAATGAAAATACTTCTATTCTGCTTATTATGATTTTCACTTGTAGATTATGACTCAGGAGCATCCATACCCATTTATATAGGAGCTGCAGAACTAAAGACCTGTCTTGGGTAATTTGGTGGAGATAATTACATGTCAGGTAGAAACAGTTCTGTATTTCTGGTGTTACAAATGTAAATAAACTCACGCATCCAGATAATAAGTGTTGAAAAGGCTGAGTACAACCTGATTTCTTTGCATGGGTAACAACAGTGGAGAGGGGTCAGCAGCTCTGGAGAAGCATCACTCACACACTACCCCTAACATGATGAGAAAAAGACATCCTCCACTTTGACTCTCTAGCACACAACATGCAAATTTGGAAAAATTTATTACATGACAGAGAGGCACGATTTTTTTGCAAAAAGTTAAAATAGTGTAGTAGTGTCATATTGAATTCATAGTGACAAAGAACAATTATTCTCTTTTTAATGACAAGATTTTTATATTAACATATTAAAAATATTATTTCCATGATGGGAAATGGAAATATGGTGAGTCTCTCACGCACTCAGCTTCCAAGGCTTAGCGTGGAAGCAGCAGAACAAGTAAGGGCATTCCATTTTTGTTCTAGCTAGCCAGAAATATGTGATAAAAAGATCTAGTAAAACTCTCCCTGGTCATTCACCCAATATTAAGCCTAGATCTGAGAGATGAAAGCCAAGCAAAGCAGATGCACATCAGAGAGAGTCGCTGAAGTTCAAAGGCACAGTAGAGGAGTGAGCTGGGGCCTTGTGATTCTCTCAACAGCTGAGAAATGCAGAGGGGCAGGGAAGAAGAAGGGCTTGCTGGTTAATGTTCAGACTGTTTGCAGCTGAGAAAGTCTGCAGTTACTGATGCTAAGATTCAGCATAGAAGCAGCCCAGGCCCCAAATGCTGCTTTTCATTCACAGTATCCAACCGTCAGTCATTCTCTTAGCTTAGCTAGGCTTTTTGCTTCTAATCACAGACATGTTTCCAAAAAAATTAAGAAAGTCAAATGCATTAACAATTATTATCAATATTTAACTGTCAAAAAAAATCTGCAAACACCTAGAATCCCAGCACTCTGGGAAACTAAGCCAGAAGGATGAGAAATCTGAACACAGCCCAGCAAGATCCTGAATAAAAATGAAAAATAAGAAAGGGCTGAAGCTGTAGCTTGGTGGGTTCAATCTCCAGTGCTGGGGAAAAAAACAAAACAGAAAAGTAAGGGTAAAAATGAACTCCATGCCTGACAAGCCTGAGGTTGTGAGCTCAATCCCTACTACCAAAAAAAAAAAAAAAAGTAAATTCTAAAACACATTTACTTTTTAGGGTATAACTATGCTTCTCAAATGAAAAACCTGAGGTCTTTTTTTCTTTCTGCTAGATACTACAAAGTTTTTATTATTTATCCTGAGAAGTTGGAACAGGTACACGATACATCTCAATTACTTGTTCTAATCCCTTTCCTTCCCTCCCTACTTCTCCCAACTTAATTTTCTATTTGCAAAAGCTCCATTTTCACTATAATGCTTTCCTATCCCCTTTGCCACCCCTTCTTCCCCCTGCTCCATCTCTTGTTGCCCCATCCACTCCACTGGTTTGAAAAAGATCTCCCTACTTCCCTTCTATCTATCTTCTGTTTTACTCCTATCACTCTCCCTCACTGAATTTGTCACATAAGAGAAACCATGCGATATTTAAGCTCTATGTCTGACATTATTTTCTTTTTTTTTTTTTTTTTTTTTTTTTTTTGTCTTTTTCATTTTTATCGGTACCAGGGATCGAACTCACGACTACCTGCTTGCAAGGCAGGTGCTTATGCCGCTGAGCTAAATCCCCAGCCCCTGACATTATTTTCTTAAGTTGCATCTGTTTGTCTATGACCGTCACAAGGTTACCTTTCTCTACAGCAAAGCAGTCCTCCATGGTGTATGCATAGCACATTTTCTTTATCCATTCATCTGCTGATGTGCATTACCCCATTTCTAAGATCTAGATATTCTAAATTGTGCTGATACAAACATGGGTATGCATGTGCTCCTGTGACATTACAAAATTACTGGCCCAAAATGATCTTAAACATAGGAAACTATTCTTTAGAAGTTGCTTACTTTTGTTGAAAATCTTTGATCAATTTCTTTGCCTTGTTGTACTTCTTTTCCAAGGCCTGATACTGGCTTTGTGTCTCTTTGAGATGTTCATTGACTGTGTGACACAAAGTTTGAGCCTCGATCCAGTAGCTCTCCAATTTTAACATTCTTTCTTTGTTCTCTTCTATGTTCTGCTGGAGTTGGGTTTTTTCTAGTTCCCACCTCACTTTCTCGTTTTCTGCTGCTTGGAGCTAGAAAAATTCAGCATCAAGTATCAAGTCAAGAATAATTTGGGTAACTCGGCAGCAAAACTCTCAATATTCTAACAGTATGTTTTAGATTAAATCCCATTGTTCTATATACCCAACCATCAAAACACTTTGAGATGGGGAGAGTATTATTTCCATAATTGCACAGATGATAAGATGCATGCCCTGAAAACTGAACTGATTTGCCCAAGATTACATATCTGATAAGGGATGAAACATAAATGTGAATCCAGCTCTCATGAACTTTGCTTCACACCATAAAGTCTGAAATTCTGTAAACAGGAAAAGAGGTTTGATAGTCTTACTAAACCCAATGAATGCCAACATTTTTGATAGCTTTAAAAATGCAAAATGACACATAACAGGTTAACTGGAAATGGAGTGGTGAGAGCAGGGGACAAAGGGGCAAAAACCGAGTAAGGCTAATGTTTAAGAGGTCTGCTCCAGTCATTCGGCTGAGATTTGAATCCTACTTCTGCCATCGCGGGCTTTTAAGCCCGTAGCGAGTGATTAAATTTCCCCAAGGGTCAATGATATCCATATAACAGAACTGTGATATAATTTACCAGCATGCTAACAATCAACTAGTAATTATTAGCTCTTACTTGCTTTTAACCATTTTGATGGTTTTATTAGGTTCTTTATTTCAACTGACATGAACATAGACTATAGCTTGTATTACAGCAGCATGATAAATTTCTAGATCTTTATAAACCTCATTTCCTACAAAAGAACAGAAAATAGGCTAAGTAAAAATATAAATGGTTACTTGATTAATTTAAATAACTTGTGATTTCTGCCTCCAGGTGATTTTCTAGATATGTAGCTACTAGTCTAATACCCTCATTTACAAAGAAATTTAACGGTGATCATTTAGGTGAGAATTTAAAGGTAATTTACTCAGGAAAACTGCCAGGTCGTCAAACTAATGCTTTAGCTACTGCCTATAACTTCTTAAAGTCCAAAAAGATACAGTGCTACTGTAAACTATCAATGTTAAAAAAAAAAAATCAAGACACTGAAAATTAGATGCATTCAGCAAACAAAAATATATTTGGAATATACAAGTATATAAAATATATAAATATGATATACATGTAGGCATATGCTTCATGTAAATTTTGAACTAAAAACATTTGTAAAAAAGATTACAAATAAAAGAACTACCAAAAAAAACCACTTTGAAATTAGGAATTCTACTATCATCGTGAGTAATAACCATAGTAAATTAATCTGTAGGTATTATGTCAAGGGAATAAAAATATAAAATACCAATTTATAGTCTTTTTAAAACTAAATGTTTATAAATTTTATCATATAAGTTCTATCATAGTATTTATAATTACAGAGGACTCACTTGCCCTAACTATAACTAATACTTTTTTAAAAATCCATTTTACCTTTCTATGTCAAGAGCGATTACAATTTAAAATAGGACTAGATTTTGTACTACACTTTTTATTGAGTAATATTTTGTATCCAGTTGCTTATTTACCAACCACTACTATTTTTAAAATGTCTATTCACAATGCTAGCCTGACACCAGAAATGATATACAGACACGTTATTAAGAAAGAGCTCTATAGACCCATATTAGCTGAGACTGAGATGTAACCAAAATATCCTTGCCAATTCATCTCCATTTAAAACACATGGAAAATTCAAAACAAGGGTTCAATGTGTAATCAAACACATTGTATAGGGAAGTAATTATGTCCTAATTTTAAAAAAGATTACAGGAACAATAAAGAATTATTTTAAAGTAATTCTGAGATATTTTTATTTTTGAAATTATGTACTTGATAAACCTAAACACAATTACTAAATTTTATTTCATACCTTATAATTTACCAATTAAAGTGATCTTTCAAATTTTGTATTTGATACAGGTAGACTAAAATGTATTTCCTTTCATCAAGATTTTTTTGTGCTCCCCACAAATTTAAATAATGTCATCTTGTCTAAAATCTTCCCTGAGCACTTGGCTCCTAAAATCAATTACGTATGTGCAATATGAAATTTATAATAGTTAATTCACGGAAACTAGAAATTGTTTTTATAAAAAGTAATTAATGTTCTATTATTTAAAGGACATTGCTTCTGGCGAGTAAGCTAAATTGATATACCTAGCCACAAGGTAGATGAAGATACGTTACACCAGCCCAAATTTAAGGAATTCACAATTGAAGCATTCTTCAGATGCCTGTGCCATCAAAAATAGTTTTTCTGCGAGACATCTCAGAAGGCCTTAGCCATGTATGTGCAAATATGTGTCTGTATTTAAAGCTCAAGCGCCTGTTACTTTTTACTGAGAAGTACTGCAAACTCAACCTCTTACATCTGTATCCTTTTAAACACTCCCGAGGAAATCCTTTAGCTTCCTCGTGAAGTTATATACATGAAATTAAAGAGTGCAATTCACACACCATGCACCAGTGCTTACCTTGGTCTTCAATTTTTGAATCTCTGCTTCTGTAACTGCATGTTTGATTTGCAACTGCAAATTGAAAAAGAAAAACATCTGAACTGAGCACGTGCCTCTAATGTTTTGCAGTCTCAGCAGCTAGGAGAATACTTTAGAACACAGTAAAAAGCCTGGAAAAGTTCTGCAATGCAACACGTTGTAAATGAAAGTGTCTAGTGTGTAAAATGACTCACGCAGTGCAAACAATCGCAAAGTTTGTGGCTCACATTTGCTAACGACACATTAGGCTACTAGTTTAATCGCTCTGGGATCGGAAACAAAAAAAGACATTTCTTGTCCACTTTGCAGCTCTTCCTTTGTGTTTCTGAGTATTAGGGAACTGTTTTCTGGCTGAGTCTCAAACCTGAAATCTCAAGCCTGAAAGTCCTTCTGCGGGGGCTGCGTGCAGATTAATCCCACATGTGGAAGAAAGGTGGCGCTATGGGCCTGTGAGTCGCTGGCCCACTGCTGCACAGGAGGAAGGCAGCAGCCTTTCCTGTCTAACTGCAGCAGAGGTTCACATCCAGATTTCTGTGCTCAGAAGGCGCGTTCCTAAGGAGGGCTCAGGCCTGAGAAGGCGCCTGCCAGAATTACCGGGAGAGCCGCTTTTTACGCTTGCTTTTCTCTCCCCCCACCCTACTTTGTTTTCTTTGTAAGGGAAGAAGCAGTGAACATTCATTTTCTTAAGGGATAAATAAACATCTTCAAATTTAAGGAAAACAATTTATGAGTACGGAATTCATCCTCAGAAACCCCTCGGGCCGAATGTTTTTGGAATTCAGGTTTCTACCCATTTTAGAGAGTTGGGAAGAGGAGGAGTCTTAAGTCCACTTTGGTTGCCCCTCTGCAGGGTGCGGGCTCTGGGACCAAACATTCCAACCTTTTTGCCATCAAGCACGTGTATGCTACCATGAAGGGAGGTTCAAACAGACATCAACAGCATACTGAGTTTTAGGTTATATCAAATTGCCACCAAATTATGAAAAAGCTGGACTGTAGACCTAGGCCATCATTATAATCAAGCAGGTCTAAAAAAAGTCTCTTGTACTAAGAGTCCACCTCTCCGGACAGAAAGACTGGGATGCAGAGTTCTTAGTAAGGGAGATGCAGGAGACCACTGTGCCTCATGAATTCAGCTCTCTGGGCTTTGCAACCTACATTCCCTTTTTTCTTCCTGGATTGATGGTGGTACACAGGAAGGATGATAAAGAGAGAAGGAAGAATCAAGCATAGGTCAGCTCAACACCCTTAGCTGCTGTAGTTTACAGCCCAGAAGGCAACCACACTTGCCTTCATTGGAAGCTCAGAGCACTACTGTACCTGGCAAGCTTCCCAGTAGCTAGATTGGAAAGTGGACACAAAAGATGCAACAATGCTGCTCCAAGATTCCAGCCACTCTCTCTCACCTCCCCAGTGAGGTCTGACAGTGCCAGCGTACACAGCTGCACTGGGTGGAGTGCCACACGGGGGCCTCTGCTTAGCACACGGCCACAGAATGTGACTCTTCTTGACTCATTACAGTCTCAGCTCTGAGAAGATAATCAGCCTGTGCCACCTCAAAGTGAATCACCACTGAAATCAGGACTAGAACCTGCATCTTTGGGTCCCGATCTCACTGCCATTTGACTTAGAAAAGGAAGAATGACTCCAACAAGTGTTTATTGAAGAGCTACTATGTGCAAGATGCAATAAAGATAATGCTGTTTCTTTAATAAATATCACAGCTAAAATCCCTCAATATAAACAATTAAAATAAAAAAGCAAAAAGTATTTAGATATTTATATTTAAATCTATGCATGTGTACACATATGTGCACAGCCATAATGAGTTATTTTCCATGGTGATACTATACTGTATGGCAGATACACTGAGGCACGCAGCCCATCCACGTTCATTTTAGGCGATTCCGGAGTGTAACAGTTACCAGCAAGAATGTCTGCTCTTTGTTGTATCATGTACATGTTGCATTACACTGCCTGAACACATCCCAGGCTTACCTGCACTAGTTATGGGTCAGAAAAATTAACCTCTGTACCTTTGCTTTCTTCATCAGTAACATGCAATTCCTCAAAGGTTATATAGCCTTCCTTACTGGAAAGCTAAATAAGATAATCCATGTAAGCACCTAGCACAGTGGCTAACACAGAAGAAATACTCAGTGAACATGGCTAGAACCACAAAGAGTGATGGAAAGAATTCAAATGTGTTTATTCAAATTCTACTTCTTAGTTAAAAGTGCTACAAAATGTCACACCTGAAATAAAATGAACATGCCCAGTTCATTTGAAGAGTAGCAAGAAAAGAAAAGGGCGTGTTTCACCAGGAAGCACTGGACTATGCACAAGTGCCAGACCTAATTTCCTTGGTGATTGACTCCCAGGAGAGTAGCCCAGCATACAGCCTAGACTGTGGTGGATCACGGCACTTTCTTTGTCACATCATGGTGACCTGTGCAGACTGCTTCTCGAGGTCTGTTTCCTCTATGAAAATGACAGGGATGTAGGAAGAAGTGGTGTAACATTTATGCAGCGAGGAGCCTGAAGCAGTCATCAGGATCGCAGAACCTAGAAATTTTCAGACTAAAGTCAGCATTTTTATTCTTAAGCATGTACGTGGTAGAAGAGTAAACTGACATGTAAAATAAACCTACAGAAAGGTGTGAAGAAGCCCATGTTGTCCTCCAGTTATTCCATCCTCCCATCTCACCAAGATGGGTAACAGAAGGGAGCCGAACTTCATTAGCAGTGAGGTGAGAACAACTCATCAGAGCTGGGAGTGTTGCCAATACAACTGAATTCTTGAGATAGGAGGAGAGGGGAGTGCACTGTGTGAACTCTGACATTATGCAGAAGGTGAACAGAAGTTTCAGGGCAAGTGTTCATAAGGCCCACCACTATGGATTCTATATGTGATTAACCTTGTGTGCACATTGAGTGAAGTTCTACAAATCTATCACTGAAGAAAAAGGCACAAAATACACTAATTGAGCTCTTTCATTTCATATAGGGACTGGAACGTGTGTCCTAGTGAGCTTAAATTGCTGGGCTAATAGTGGATTTAGAAATCTCAGTTCATGGTTCTTTCCACGTGTACTGAATTTCTTACATTTGCCGGACCCTCTCTTCCCCGAGCCGGCTGCCACCTTTCAGTGTGAATGACTGATGCAGGAGAACAGTGCGGCTCACCTCACTGTGTGGATATGGACGCTGCTCTCAGGGCACACGTTACTTCAAGCCTCCACTAGAAGTCACTGCATGGGCGGAAGCAGTCGGGGCTGCCTCCTGTGGGCTGTCCACCACAGTCTCACTCAACTGGAGGCTCTGGGTTGTATTTCTCATCTAACCCATACAAAACCCTGCAGCATTATTTCATTGTTACCTCCTCAGATGAAGTATTTTATTATGCTGACCAGAAACCACGGATTTCTTTAGGAAGCCTCTCAGTATCCTGTTATCAAGTGTCAAATGGTGCCCAATTAGCTACTGTTACTAATCAAACTTAGCACACCTAGCTCAGCACCCAGCACTAAATGAATGAGGCTATGTGCCAGGTACGAGCCAGTCACTGAGAACACCAACAGTAAATAAAGATTAATAAAACAACCTCCAGAGAGCTGCTGCAGTGGTCTAGAAGCGCAGAGGGAACCTGTTTCTGGGTGGCTTGAGTAGTAATTTTCTTCTATAATGCGGTCAGAGGACTCATGGCTTTGATCTCTTTGTACCATCTCAGATTGAACTGTAGATTTTACCTTCCAGGAAAGGAAGGTGAGATGGGCCCAGGATACCTTCATTTCATGAGGAAGAGAAAGCTGCTTTTCAAGGAGAAGAAAGCACTTGACGGAAGAATACTTGACAGACGCCTGAGTTACCTTACTCGGAAGCATGTGTGTGAGATGTATGCCAGGGATCACTATGCTTCTCAAAGTAGACATCCAAGGTTTGTGAGGGCAGGCTGGCTGACTGGGGAGAGGAGAAAGGAAGCAGCCAGAGATGCCTGCTGGATCTAAGACTTGGGGTGACAGAACAGACGTAAAACAAAAGACTGCAGGCCAGTGTCTTTTAGTTTACAGGCCAATCTCTTTAATTTCTTCCTCTCTCTCTCTCTTTCTTTCTTCCTTTCAATACTGAGGATCTAACTCAAGACCTCACACTTGCCAGGCAGGCGCTGTGCCACTGAGCTATATCCCACCAATCTCTGATTTCTTTTGTCATCTTTAACATGAATGCCCTAAGTATCATGTCTGCTCTAAGCCTGCAGCCAAAATAAACATACAATTTCTGGAAGAACAGGAGCACTCATTTAGCATTCTGTAGATGTAAGTGTTGTGCATATGTTGTTTATTTCTTTCAAAAGGATAAATACGGAGCATGTGTGCATATGACTGAATCAGTATAACCACTAGAAATAGAAACATCCTTATACAGAAACATAAATAATCAGATTGAACTTTTGCACTCTCGTACTTATCCTGTGTGAGCATGGAAAACATTTTTAAGTGAAAAATACTATCTCTGTCAGAAAGATTTAAGAGAGTTCTACTACTAGAAATTTTATGATAAGAGCAACATTTTCTGTTCTTACTTTACAAAAACTATTTGTGTAGAACTCTGCGAAGAAAGTTTCAGCAATGAAATCAGAATTTTCACCATCACTCTTGCATTTGCTATCTATCCATAACACTGGATCCACAAAGGAAGAAACCAAAGCTGTTTTTGCCAACATACTGCTGCTGTTGAAGTGAAGCCAAGGAGTATTTCTTTGTCACTTCTGCTGAAAGCATTACACACAGTGCCTATCTTTACATTAATAAAATTATTTTTTTCAGGGATAGTGTATGCAAAGCAAACTAGCCTAACTCAGAGAGAGCACAGTATTGTGAGATACAGTGCGCGGGCCAAGATTCTCAAACAAAGCTACTCTAAGCTGGTACTAGGAAACTGGTCATCTATGATAAAGATGCTGGCTGGAGTTGACGGTCCATGACTACAGCTTATTTTAAAACAAATATATATATTTCCTACTAGTTAGATAA